CCCACAAATAACAAGAAATATCAACTATATCTTAAATATCACCATTATTTTAGCTCTTTGAGCTAAACATTTAATCAAAACGACTTACTGTATATCCAACTGGTGTTTCAAGAGGAGTATTTTGTTTTTGTTGACAACTAACATGATAAAAAGTAAAAAGCAAGTGATGATGATCAGTTAAAGTAGCAGGAAGCTTAACCTTGATTTCTTCATGAAAATCGGGAGACCTTCATACAAAAAAAAAAAAAAAATCAACAGTCAGTAATTTGTCCAAAATAATATATTTGTATATTTGAATAATTTAAAAATTAAGTTTAAGATTCATGTTTAATTTTTCCTCTAGTCCAAAATATTTTTCTTTATCCCCAATCTCTAAATAACTAAATCCTACTTCCATGCAAGGGAGCTGCTACTGTTTCTGAAACTTCTCATCCCATTTTTCTTAATGGGTTGAATAATCCTACTATTTAAAAGTTCATAAATGATCACCTTGATCCTGAGATCTCCATTGGATCTTCTTATCCCATTTTTCTTCTCATCCCTTGATCCTGAGATCTCCACTAGATCTTCTCATCCCATTTTTCTTAATGGGCTGAGTAATCCTACTATTTAAAAGTTCATAAATAACCACCTTGATCCTGAGATCTCCATTAGGTTGGAAGCTCTATAAAAGAGACTAAGGTAGGGAGTTCTGTATTCATGAGCCAATTCTGATAAACATTATACAAAACATTTTTCTTTCATAGGAGTATGCTTTCATATTAAAACCAATTTATATCATCCTTTTGTAAAAAAAAAAAAAAAAAAGTAGGGAAAAAAGGCATCTTTAGACAACTTAATATCAAAATATCACTTTGGAAGCCAGGTGTAGTAGCTCACACCTGTACTCTCAGCACTTTGGGAGGCTGTGGCATCAGGATCACTTGGAGCCAGGAGTTTGAGACCAGTCTGCACAACATAGCCAGACTCATCTCTACAAAAAATTTTAAAAAAAAAAAAAAAAAGAAAAGTCCTAGCTACTTGGGAGGCTGAGATGAGAGGATCACTTGAGCCCAGGAGTTCAAGGCTGCAGTGAGCTATGATCCTGCCACTGCACTCCAGACAGAGTGAGACCCTGTCTCTTAAAAAAAAAAAAAAAATCAAGTTTTGTTCTAGAGACTGTCTTCTAACAACTATTTCATTGTTAAAGAAATTTTAAAAAGTTACCAAAATACGAACTAGAATTGACTGCTAAAACAAACAAAAATAAAATAAAATCAGGAAATGCCCACGTACTACATTTGTCTCAGAGTTTAGAAGCGCTTCCAGACTTCTAAGAATACAATAAATATCTTTTTTGATCAAACCAATGACAAACTTTCTTCTCAATATTCACTGAGAATAATCCCAAGAGGTTACTTTTATAGAAAAGCATGGCTGCTATTCATAACAAAAAGGAATAAAACCTTAGCATCCCAACCTTCCATATTGAGATAGTATCTCTCAGAATTATATTAGACAAAAATGCAACCAAACCATATTGCTCCAACTATCTTTAACCACCAATCAGGTTTTTTTCCTTAGATGTTTATAGGTCAATTATCTTTCCATCTCTAATAAGCCTCAAAAGCATTAAAAGATATAGATTGAACACAGGAATATTAAGTAGAACAAGGCTTTTGATAATATCAACAAGAAAGATAGCTAAGGCTAGCCATCTGAGCACTTGATGACTTTGGTGGGAAAAAAAAAGACACTAGGCATCTTATTACTAATCCCACCAACTACCAGTGAATTATGAGAAAGTGAGTTTACCAACAATGTCAGATGGCATAATAATTTTGATCCCACTAATGCTGAGAACAACAAAAATAAAGACCTAGCAATAAAATGGGATTATTTTTAGAAATTACTATCTTCTTTATCAATACATTTCCTGGTATTCAGTGCTTTAATTCACTTGTCCTAAAAATCACATAATGTGAAGACTTTTGTTGAAAATTAAGTATCTAAGAGAGTTATTCATTCAATAAGCAGATTTAATTGCCCACCTTTGGCTAAACATTGTGTTACTTTTGTGGTGGTTTTAAAGATGAACATTAAAAAACAATTACTCTCAAAAAGTATGCAACTTAGTAGGAATATAAATAAGACATATATATATCAATAGCTATGCTATAAAACAGGGGTTGGCAAAAAATGGCCTATAGACTAAAAATAATTCACTGCCTGGTTTTGTACAGCCTACAAACTAAGAATGGCTTTTACATTTTTAAATGATTGGGGGCAAAAAGGAATAATAATATTTCACAACATGTGAAAATTATATGAAATTCAAATTTCAATGTCTATAAATAAAGCTTCACTGGAACACAGCTATACCTATTTACTTGTAACGTTACTGTCTATGGTTGTTTTTACACTACAATGGCACAGTTGAATGGCTGCAAGAGAGACCATATAACCACAGGCCTAAAATATATACCATCCAGTCCTTTGTAGAAAATGTTTGCCAACCCCTGGCATATAGCATATAGGGTTATATGCTTCAAGAACAGAATTTAACAGATTACTTCAAGTTTGAGATCAGGGAATTGTAACTTAGAAGGTAATATTTGATAGGGACCTTGAAGAATGAGTAGGAGTTCAATAAATAAGGGAATTTGGTATTATAATAGAAAAAAAAAAATCCAAGAATGGCTCAGAAATAGGACAGCAAAGGATATACTTAGTAATAAAGTCAAAGGAAATCAGCAAGACTTAACAGAATAGAGGAGAGAAGGGGAGGGGAGGGGAGAGGAGGGGGAGAAAACAAAGATGTCTTAAATGTTGAGCCAGAGTAACTGGAAAAATGGTGGTACTATTAATAAAAATGGAGAGTAAGAAAGACATACGGTCAGGACAAGAGTCAGTGATAGATACATGAACACAGACAAGACAGCAGGGTATCCAAATGAATATGTCCAATAGGCCACCAAAAATAAGTATCTGTATTTCAGAAGCAAGGTATGACTAAAAATAGAGTTGGAAACAATCCACATAGACATTAAAGTAGCAGCATTTTCATTAAATGTAACTCTGAGAGATACATATAAAATCATTTAAGAAAAGAATATATTAAGAATGAGGGTTAAGGGCAAAACTTTAGTGTTTTGTGTGGAATACCTTACACTTATGGGAAAAAGAATAACTACTATAGAAAATAAGAAGTGTTCAAAGACACAGAAGGAAGCCCAAGACAAGGCCACAATATAAAGATAGGAAAGAAGAAAGTTTTAAGAAGGGTAAGGAAAATACATACTATACAATAGCAGTGAGAAAGGACTGTTGTATTTTTAAACATGGAAACTGACGCTTATTTTTGAGAATAAGAGACAGAGCCAATGAAGCAGGAGACTGCAAAAAACGGGATAACTGATTGACTTATATTCTGGGAGAGGTTAAAAGGATCATTTGAAAGCAGAGGTGAAAAGATTCCCATTGAACAGGGAGTAGGCCATTACTCCCCTTGAAACAGAAGGAAAGGCAGATAAGTATAGAGATAATTTGAGATGAAGCATAGAGAAGTTGATGGGTCTCAAGCTGGATGGTCTTAATAAATAGGAATGCTGAGAGTAAAGCACACAGAAAAAAAGTAGGAGCTAGAAGAAACTCCTATAGCTACTGCTAAATGAGGGCAAAGTGTTAAAAAAAAAAAAAAAGTAAGATTACAAAAGAGCTATGGGGCCAAAAAAGATAAAATGAATTACTGTGGCCCTATCATATGATACAATAACATCAATTTGTGATAGTCTTGATTAGTAAAATTTTGTGATTTTTCTCCAACAGTATTCAATCATCCCCCCAAAAGAAAGCAGAAATTAAAGGTTATCCAAAGTTAGCAATTTCCCAAGGAAGAAAAATGGCAAGTCACTAAATCAAAGAATTAGCAGATACTGATAACATCACCAATTTAAGTGACTAATGTGTTCAAGTTTAGTAAAGGCTTAAGTTACTACAAACTGTCAGGTGGAAATAACTGGGAAAGACCAAAGGACCGGTGGCCACAATGATAATCAATAACAATATAATAAAAATGAAAGGATCAAAGAATTCAATAGAAAAGATGTTTGGTGTACAAAGTCATATTCGAGATGTCAACAGAAAATGGCTGTGCATCCACAGGTTGAAAATTATAACTGATGTCAGCCTTGAATTTGGCACATTTAGTGCAGTAAAGCATTTCGTAAACACACTAGTGTGAGTGCTAACAATGCCACTGAGAAGTGAGTAACTTTGAAAGAAATATTTGAATTCAGTACCTGTTATGATATACTACGGCTGTATAGGCTTCCTTTGAAAATTCTGAACAGCTAGATTTACCAAAGATTACCTGAAACAAATAACAGCACGTTGAAACTTTGTTGTAGTAAATGCTGGATGATTCATATCTATGTAAGAATTTTTCTAATTTAATAACTATTTGAGAAAAATGGGCAAAATCAGCCCAATGAAGAACAATGTGCCTACTGACGTTCATCAAAAAGTTCAGTTGCTTAAATGTAAGTTTCTGTTCTACAACAGACCCATCTGACAAACATTTTAAAAGTTTCTATCAATTATATTTATATCTACTGGGAAATTTGATACATTTCTTTCCTTTTTCTTAAAGAAGGTGAAGAATTCAATTTTAAATTAGATGTAGCATATTATTTGGAATTTATATAAGAAATATAAATGGTGGCATAAATATACTATACAAATTATTGGCTTCAACACTAAAACAGCAGAGTCATTCTGAAAGTCAAATATAAATTATAAATGGTATCAGAAATCCTATTTTAGGTCAAGCTATGTACCCTTTGCTTCTAATATTTCCTACAAGCTACACTACAATGGAGGAAAGCTTCAATCTTATATTTTTACATATATATATATATATATATATTTTTTAATCCACTACATTAAAAAGAATACAATGCCACTTTTGGAATAAGTTTATAGGTAAAGTAATTCAGCCTTGTATATCTGTCTCTTGAATTCTGAAGTAGTAACAGGAGTACTGTGGACAATTAGAACAGCTGATTGGATAAATGGCTCAATGTCAAGATTACAGATATAATTCCTATGTGAGACAGACAGACTTGCAGCATTATCTAGCCAGAGATTAAACTCTTAAGTCTGTATAGCCATCTTTAAATACGCGTGAATAGCTATGTGAACATGTCAGCACACTTACATCAACACAACTGGTAAAACAACTCAAAGTTTATTATTTATATAAAGAGATTAATTTGCATCTTCCTTAATTAGAAAGGCATATTAGCAGGATTCTCTGTTTCTTTTTGCAACATTTCAAGCAGGCTCTTTTATTTTAAAGGTATATACAAGTGTAATAATTATGACTTTCCTAAGATATGCATTATTTCATCAATTTGCAAATACCTTAGTATGCTTTCATAAATTGTTCCTGTGCCAGAATTATGAAGTTTAAAATTATGTCAATATTACATGATCAAAAAATTATCTTAGGACCCATTTAAGCAGTCCTTATTTAAAAAAAAAAAATAAGCAAACACAGTATGTCTATGTTTACATACGCTTTCAAATCAGCCACTTCACACATAAAAATATTATATTTTCATATGATTAATAAAATACAAGTAAAAGAAATGCAGTACCTTTTTCCCTCTGAGTAGCTATCACTTTTCACAAACTAACTTGTTTATTTTCATATTATGAATGACATAAAGCAGACAGTGCTCCTTTTTGACCATTTGACATGTATTTTTAATCATTCAGCAATATGGATTGAGCATCAATTATTTATCCAAAAGTGTGATAGGAGTCCAAGATATAGATACAAGTAAGAGATCATCCCTGCCCTCAAGGAGCTCACAATCTAATGGGTGAGGTAAAGAAATAAATATAGAATCATAAAGTGATAAAGTCCTATGAAAGAAGTGAGAAGATGCTATGGTAGCACCAAAGAGGGAGTGGTCTAACAGCCAATATAAGATGGGTGCAGCTGGGGTTCTGTAGAGGAGGCCATATATATATGATAAGATAAGGAAGAGTTTGTTAAGTCAACAATAAAAACATTACTTTACGTATACTACATTTGTCATATGCTCAAATTCATATGGCAACTCACGCATAGGCGGACAAAGCATATATTTCCAAGATCTAGTATCTTTTCATCAACTATCACAGTATGTTCATTTCTTCAGCAGAAATGAACTAGTATAAAGCATGACATGTGAATTTCAAACCTCAAAAATAAATTCTACAATTATTCCACAAATATTTACCGGTATGTATTATATGCAATAATCTGGAAAAAAAAATGCCATAGGAGAATACAAAGATGAATAATTTGTGCTCACTGTTGTCAAGGAGATCTACAAATGTTGATGTAACTGAGGCAATAGGGTAGAAGAAAATGTATCTTTCCTAGTATATGGAAAACCAGAAGAACTTCATTAAAAGATGGACATGGAAGGATAAAATAAGATTGTTAACAATGCACCTGTTCTTAGCTCATTTTCATCCCACTAGGGTTCTCAGCAGTTCAGCATCAATAGCAATAGCATATTTCTATTCCATATATTACAAACTTTAGTTGACACAAAAATTCACTCTCATGAAACTTGGATTTATTAGTGTCCCACAAATCCTGAATGACAATTTGGACAGTCAAGAATCTCTAGTCTGGTCTCAACCTACTACTTCTGATTTTTCTTCCAGTGCTCTGGTTCACTGGCAACTCACCACTGTCATCACTGTTCATGGGCATTCCCCAGCTTGAAATTCTTTCCTTCCCCCACTCTACAAACACATTGCTATTAACATTTTAATGATCTTTGGTCACCACAAAAGTGTCTCTTCCATGAGATGCTTGTTATCTCAGTAAGGCATTCTCTCCCACCTCTGAATAACCACCTATTCCTTTGAATCCCTATATCGATCATCTAAAAATTAGCACATAGCTTGGTTCTCAATATTGTCTGCAAAATGTAATCCCTGGTGAGACTTTAAAATACTGATACCTGGTCCAATCCCCAGAAATTACGATTTAATTTAAATGAGATTCAGCTTGAGCACTGGGTTTGAAAAGCTCCCCAGGTGGATCTAATGTGCAGCCAAGATTGAGAACTAATACCAGAGTTTATCAACCAAGATGGGAAAAGTCATACATATTAAAATCACCTGTGGAGCATTTTCAACTAACACAGCCTCACATACCACACATCATTTTCCACCTCCCTTAACTGGCCTTACATTCTAAAGGGAGTTGAGGAGAATAAGAATCATAGATGTCAAAAGTACAGGAAATATATCTCTACTTTGATAGAGTTCTCTAGGTGATACTGATCTGACCCTCTTTTGAAAACTACTATTTTAGATTTATATGTATTCATATTACATCCTCTGGATTACAAGTCTTATTCATCTCTGTATTTCTAGGAGTGCCTAACATATACCAAGTCTTCTATAAATAAGTAAGTCTTTAAGTAATGTCATTACTATCTATAACAGAAAGTAATGTAGCTAGAAATTTGGCTTAAAAGATCACATTAATTTCCAGGTTGGAGCTGTCAACCAAGTGCTATCAAAAAAAAAGAAAAAAAAGAAAAAAAGAAGTCTACTTGAACTGTATACAAAAAATTGGAAAAGTAAAGAACATTTCTTACCGGCATGGCATTGCTTGGATCCTCTCCATACATAAACTGGACTTTCACTGTTATATTTCTAGCAGAACCTTGACGATTGGCAAAATTAAGACTCTGAGGGTATATGTAGAGAAGATTTCTGTGAAACCAACAGTATAGATGATAATAAATATATATCTAAAAAACACTATGTATCACTCACAAAATACCACAAGATAAATGAGCAAATATTGATTTGCTGATATTGGCTAGCCATTATGCTAAGCATTTTCATATGTGATGTTTTATTTGATGCTGAGAGCAATCGTTCAAATACACAGCAATCAAATATGTCCCGATTTTGCAGATAAACTGAGATCCAGTAAAGTTAACTGATTTTCTCATACAACGAAGTAAGAGGCAAAGCTGAAATCAGAGTGCCGGTCAGTCTGACTTCAAAACTCATTATCTTCACTCTACAAAAGACTTCTGGAATAAATGAATATGGACTGAAACATTATTAAGTTAAAGAAATAGTTCAAATATTTTTCTAATATTTCTAAATAGTTCCTCCAAGCACATATAAATAGGATGGCATTTATAAATGTGGCTGCTGTATAAATGTGATTAAGAATTTTAAGGAGTATAATATTCCACATCATTTTTTAAAGACATGTTACAATATGGTGAGCATAATAGAGTTAGTTAGTTCCTACAAGATAATAAAATTTTAATTTGGATTTATTTGAATTCTTGTCCAGTTTATGATCTTTATCATAGACAAACTTCAATAGCCCTTGCTGCCAACACACAGAAGAGAAATAATTCAAGAAAAGACACCAAAGAGCTAAAAAAAAAAACAAAAATCAGAGTTACTTTACCTAAAGACTAGTGCTTAGAGCCAATGAACAACACACTGAATATAACGGAACCTTGTTAATCAACTGCTGGGGCAATGAAACCAGATCTAAATTTTCTGAAGAGTAGTAGTGCAATATAGAAGTTTTAAATAAACACGCACTTTGACCCAACAAACACACCTCTAATCTGAGGAGAAAACTGCACACATGTACAAATGACAATGTTCAAAGTAATTTACTACAAAATTTTTGATAAAAGGATGATTACACAATATTATAAAGAAAAGCAATGTTCATTAGTACTGAGTTGGTTAATGAAGATACAGTAATTAAGAAGGAATATAATAGCGTCCCCAGAATAACAATGTACAGCCATATTTATTGATGTAGAAAGAGATACCTAGCATGTTGAATGGGACACAGGATGAGGGAGAAGCAGGTTCTAGAGCAGGATATACAGTGGCATTACCCTATTTGTGGAAAACTCTGTGTGGGGGTGTGGGAAAAGGCAGAGAGAGAGAATGGATAAAATTATGTTTCTAAAAAATAATAGTGATGGCTTGAGTGTGTTTTAGTTAATAGTAATGGTTTTCATTTTTTATACATTTTTATTTAAAATTTTAAAGTAATATATTATCTTTATAATTAGAAAAAGCAATAAAGTAATTCCCATGCTAGAGGACGGGAATGTCTTTGACAATAAGCATACCAACTAGAAGTACTAAAAAAAAATGGAGAAGAATCAGTTGCATTCAAAATAGCCAAAAAGTATAAAAGGCAAATATGGAACTGTTATGACTGGTCAGTTTCTAGTCTGACTATGACTGACCAACCACTGAAATCATCAAGTAAAATTTATAAAGAAAACATTTACTGATTGCTCCAACACATGTCAGGCATTGTGTTGGGCACTAGAAAAGGAAAAAGAGAGATTTAAGAAGTCACATCCTGGTCTTGAGGAACACAGTATATAATGGGATAAAAATGCCTAAACACAGATCACTTCAAAACAACAGTGTTATAAGACAGGCATGCAAAAGCTATAGGAGGAAAAACTAGGAACCTAGTTGTCTGTGGTGAAGTCCTTTCATTTATAAGATCCCCCATCTTTTCTATCCTTATGATTTATTTGTTGAAGAAAGTGAATTATTTCTTTTTTTTTTTTTTTTTTTTTTTTTTTTGAGACGGAGTTTCGCTCTTGTTACCCAGGCTGGAGTGCAATGGCGCGATCTCGGCTCACCGCAACCTCCGCCTCCTGGGTTCAGGCAATTCTCCTGCCTCAGCCTCCTATGTAGCTGGGATTACAGGCACGTGCCACCATGCCCAGCTAATTTTTTGTAGTTTTAGTAGAGACGGGGTTTCACCATGTTGACCAGGATGGTCTCGATCTCTTGACCTTGTGATCCACCCGCCTCGGCCTCCCAAAGTGCTGGGATTACAGGCTTGAGCCACCGCGCCCGGCTGAAAGTGAATTATTTCTATGTAGATTTTCCAGAGCCTAGATTTTACTGACTGCACTCCTATAGTGTCACTTGAGATGATCTTCTGTGTTTTTTGTAAATTGAGAGTTGAATCTACAGCCTTAGTCATATTTAGGTTAGAATTTTTTTTTCAGGAAGATCACTTTATAAAGGATACTGTGTTCTTTTTTCAGGAAATGTTTGGTTGCTTCCTTTTGTACAATTAGTAGACAATGATGATCAATGCCTAAATCCATTATTTTTCATTTTAAAAATTTATTATTTTTTTTAAGAGACAGGGTCTCACTCTGTTGCTCAGGCTGAAGTGTAGTAGCATAATCATAGCTCACTGCAGCCTTGAACTCCTGGCCTAAAGTGATTCTTCCGCCTCAGCCTCAGATCCTGCTGGTCTTAAACTCCTGGGCTCAAGTGATTCTCCCATCTTGGCCTCCCAAACTGCTGGGATTACAGGCACAAGCCACAGTGCCCAGCCCACCTAAATCCATTAATTCATTGAGGTTGCCAAATAGTAATATTCTATCATTTCTTTTTAATTTAGCAACTGATGTACCTTTATGAAGAGTGCTAACCCTCATCTACCATTTGCTTTGCCAGTGAACCATTATATGAGAGGCAGGAATAAATGCTTGATTCTTTTCCATTATCTGCCAGTTTGCAAAATAATAAATTGGTGCACTACAATCCTCCAAAAGGGATCAATTGCATCTTTTTTTTTAAAGTATCGCTTATAAACTCATGGATGAAACATATTTGATGAGTCTCAATATATTATAGTTATTATTCTCATGGATGATTAAATTGTCCCATCTTTGGCAAAAAAAAAAAAAAATTCAAGCTGGCTTTTGATTCAATCATAGTAGTCTGTGACAATTTTCTATTATGACAAGATGTTCCCCTATCACACCACTTTGTTACTTCATTCAGAGCTCTTATACAATCTATAATTATCTTGTTCATTTATGTATTACTTCTCATTTTTTATATCTCCTCTAATACAGCCAAAACACATGAGGGCAGGGACCTTGGTCTATCTGTGTAACTGCTCTATTACCAGTGCCTTAAATAGTGCCTCATATTTACTGAATAAATAAATGAATGAATAGTACAGACCGCATTTAAAAATGTAGTTACTTAACACTGCTAGGAGTTTAGGTTCTAGGTTAAATAGAAATTGACTGAACACTATCTATAAACTATGTTTGATTTCCAATATAAGCAATATAATTTTAAACTCATCTCTGAAGGTGAAAGGCATGCAGTTTTGAATTTTGAATCCAAATTGTTTTCCATTTGACTACTAACTCCATTAATAAATTCCCAAATAAGTCTAGTAAGTCTTTACTTTGCATTTAAAATTCTCCTTCAAAGAAATTTCAAATTAACAACAAGGTAAATTAATGAAAGATGTTGAGGTAGTTGACTAGTTATCTGGTGAGAAAAAGATGAATTCATACTTCAATCTCTCATCAAAATAAATCATAGATTAATCAAAGGCTAAAATAATAAAAATAAAATCATAAAAATACTAGAAGAGCTTTAAAGAGACCAGATTTTACAAGTGAGAAAGGCATTTATTAGCATAAGCCAGAACGTTTATAAGATATACATTTTAAAACATCTATTAATACACAGCAAGTGATGCCATAAACACAGGTGGAAGAAAATGACAAACTGAAAAAAAACTATTGTTTGTTACGTATATGACAAAGAATTCGTATTCACAATATGTAAATAATTCCTAAAATTAGAAAGAGACAAACTTAAAAGGGGGGAACAAAGAGGGGAGCAAATCATATATATACCCAGATAATTCACAAAGAGGTCAACAGAGGTGGCCCACAAAACAAACTAGATATATACCTGTCTATTAGATTTATCAACATTTTTTGCCTTTTTCATTCAAAGCATTCATAAAAGGACATAGGAAAAGAGGAGCTCGAATCTCCTGGCAGGGATGTAAACTGGTACAACCCTTTTGAAAGACAGTCTGACAAAAGCAATCATAAAAGTCAACATCTATTAATGTATATGAAAATATTTATATACATATATAAAAGCATTTGCTACACATACTGTTTATAATTAGAAAATTGTTAACAAATGATTAAAAGGGGGCTGATTAAATTAAGGTTCATCTATATAAGAGAGGATTAAACAGCTATTAAAAAGCATGTGGTAACTTGCAGCTATTAAAAAGGATGTGGTAACTCTACAGACATTCAGAGGAAAATAAATTTTAAAATACTAAGATATTGAATGATATATAGCTATTATATATAACAGGATCCCATTTGTGTTATAAAAAATTATGTTTAGCTAGTCAAAGAGTCTGGTATGATAGATCCAAAAAGTTAACAGAGTCAAGATTTTTATTTTTTAAGGTTTCTGAAATACCTGAGTTTTCACAACAAGTACTTTCAGCATTAAAAATCTTTACATGTCCAAAGATATGGTTGTTCAATTAAAAAATATACATGTATAAAATAACATATTAATAGTGAACACACAAAACAGTAAGATAGATAAAATGATTCCTTCAAAGCTCACTTAACTTCTGGATCTACAACGTCCAATAAGATGGTCTAATGAGACTGGTGAGCACATGAAAGGTGAGTGGTTCTAACTTAGATATGTTATCACTATAAAACATACAATAAATTTTGAATAGTATGAAAAAATTTAAAATATCTAATACTTTCATCTTGGATCACATATTAAAATGGCAATTTTATTTCATTCCAAGTAATAAAATGGTAATTTTTATATTAAATAAAACTTACTCTGAAAATTAATTACACCTGTTTCTTTTCAGTTTTTTTAATGTGGCTACTAAAATTTTTAAAGTACCTCTATAGCTCACACTATATTTCCATTGGGCAGTAACTGTTCTGGACAAAGAAAGGAGAGAGCGAAGTGAATATATTATTCTGGTATTATTTTTTCTTTAATGTAAACATTTCTATTTATAAAGGTTTTTCTCAAATAGTTACTTTCAGGATCTTCGTATCCAACATTAATTCAAAAACAAATTATCATAGCTAAAGAGGAAGAAATTAAAGAGACACTATGTTAAAAAAAAAAGTGCCAAAATACCTTGTGTTTTATTTTAAAGTCATATCTCCATAAGATTACACAACCTGATAGAGGATAAATGACTTTGCCTTGCTTGGAATTTAAACAATTTAGGCTCTTAAATGTCCTAAAATTCTCTGTAGCTAAGAAATGTTTATACTGGTTCCTAGGAACTAGGAATCCTTAAATTAGGGCCTACATTTGCTTACAAGTTTCTTATTTTCCTTGGCATAAAATTTTTTAGTTTTTACATTACTAGTTATATTGGATCAGGGTTCTACTTAAATAGGCGCAAGTTCAAGCAAAGATCAGATTCTGCTTTCAGCAGTGTGTACCCAGACTGGAAGTAATAAAAGGCAGACAGAACATCATTTATAAAATTACTACTTCCATTGCATTTTCCCATGTTGAAATGATTCTGCAGTTGGTAATTAGGCAAATTACTTACTTTAATTATAATCAATAATGTAGTTCAAATTACTATAGGAAAAAATTATACAGATATTTATCCCAAGAGACAATATACTAGAAACCAAGACTATGTGACCATTACCTCTACTCAGTGTTATTTGTGAGAAATTGCACAAATTGTGCAAAAAGTGTTAGTATCCTAGTATAGTTATCAAATATAGAAGGAAATTTTTTCATAAAGGCCCTCTTTGGTATTAGTGCTCAGTGACTTCCATGCACTAAAAAAGGGGCTACTCTTCCAATTCCCTTCTTTAAAAAGAACCTACTATATCAAAAGGGGGTAACCACTACTACATAAACGTTTTGCAGTTGGAAAATCCCTATATGTTGATTTTATCATTCTCTTATTCATTCAATAAATGTTATTTCTACAACGTGTAAGGCATTACTGCTAAAGCATTATAAGGAATATAAACTAAAGACACATATAAATCTTGCCAATAAAGAACTTACAGTGTAATAGAGGAGAGAAGCTGGCCAATCTATATTCTCCCTCAACTAGCAAGTGGATGAAGTATCAGGGTCAATAGTCATAAGCCACAAAAGCTGACAGCTTAGTTAAGAGAAGTTTTGAAATACGTCTTTCATGACCAATAATTACAATTGTAACTTTTCTATTTAAAGAAGGAGAAAATTTGAATTTCTTCTCTAGCTCAACACACACTTTTATAATTTATAATTCCATATGTGAACCACAGTAAAGGGTAGGATGAATATGAAGAATATTTTTTTCTTAACATTTTGTGGTTCTATATTGGACACTTAAAAATCATACACAACCTAATGAAAACATACAATTCTTTACAAAGGTACAGGAGAATAAAACTCAGAAAATCTAGACTACAACAAAATTTCCCAATTTACATTATCTTAATATGCAATTAATTTTCACCAGTAAAATACTATAGTATGGGTACAAATGCATTGATTAGTTCTAACTACAAAAATGGCTAATACATAACACTGTGTGTAGTGTTTATGATACACCAGGTAATGTTCTAAGTGCTCTGAAAATATAAACTTTAAATCTTTTACACAAACCTATAAAATAGGTGTTACTTTTACTGGACAGATGAGAAAACAGAGGTTCAGAGAAGTGAAGTAATTTGACCAAAGGTCACAAAGCTGAAGAGTATCAAAGCCAGGATCCCGATTCAGGAAGTCTTGCTCCAGAATCATGCTCTTAATCACTATGGAATACTACCTTTACTGTAACCATTATATTCAAAACCCTTAATCCTAAGTCATCAAAAAAAAAAGGGTGTCTATTTTATACAGTGAAGAGGTATTTCTCAGAATAGAAATTTGGGGCTGAGCACAGTGGCTTACTCCTGTAATACCTGCACTTTGAGAGGTTGATGTGGGAGGTTCACTTGAAGTCAGGAGTTCGAGACCAGCTTGGGCAACATAGTGAGGCACAGTCTCTACAAAATATTAAAAAATTAGCTGGGCGTGGTGGCATGCATCTGTAGTCTCAGCTACTTGGGAGGCTGAGGCAGGAGGCTTCCTCGAACCCAGGATTTCATGGCTACAGTGAGCTATGATCACACCACTGCACTCTAGCCTAGACAACAGAGCAAGATCCTGTCTCTAAAAAAAAAGAAAAAAATTGGAAATGGTTCATTTTGTATAATAATTTACACTGAAATTCATTATAATAAAACTTTTCCCTGTGTTAAAAAGCTATGAACTTTACGAAAATTTTCTTTTAAGTAAGGTTAATTATATATACACATACACACACACAGGTTAAAAGTTAGTTTCATGTGATTTAATAACTAGGATTTTGAGTACTTCCTGTTTGCCCAACACTGTTCTAAGCGCTCTACACGTATTGTTAAATTATCATAATGCTACGAATTATGTACTGTAATTATTCCAGCTTTACAGAGGAGGAGGAATGGAGAGGTTAAGTAACTTGTCCCAGGGTAGAAAGTTAGAGCTGGCTTTTGGACCCACACCACAGTCCGACTCCAGCACCCATATTCTTAATAATTTTACCATATTAATATGTCAAGATTAAGCAGTTTTTTTATTGTACTTTAAATAAGATTAAGCAGTTTTAAAGGATGCTATTTTCTCACAAAATTCTTAATATGAACACTCAATGAGAATAATCAATATTTAATTTCAGCATTTAGTATTTTTCTTTTTAACACTAAGTTGGAAGTACAGCAGAAAATTTATTTTTAGAAATATTATTAATTGGCTGGGCTCACGCCTGTAAATTTTGGGAAGCCAAGGCAAAAGAATTGCTTGAACCCAGTATTTCCAGACCAGCATGGGTAACATATTAAGACATCACCTTAAAAAAAAAAAAAAGGAAAGATAGAAATGTTATTAATCTCTTTTTGTTAAATGCATTTTATCAAATTGTTACTAAGCTCACAAACTTCAGAAAAACCTATGATGGGCAAGTTGCTTGTGACACTGAAAGTATTTCAGATTCAATTCTAGTTTCATCCTAGATGACCACATATCCACTGTTCTTCAGTGACCACATGGAAAAGAGCCTAGAACATAGAGACATAGAACACAGTGGAGAAAGGAGAGTGAAATGTCTTTAATGTCACTTAATATATATGGGATTTTGTGATAATATACAATAATGATTAAGACATATAAGATGATGCAAAAAAAATTAACAATTATAGTGACAAAAAATAAGGAGCATATAATTATACGTTGACTTATACAAAGTACCACAGGAATACAGCATTGAGAGCTATAAGACCACCTCAGGGAGTGGCAAAAGGCTTCAGAGAGAAGGTGTTTTTTAGGGATGGAACACTGCTTCCAAAAGAACTAAGGTGCAGTGTCAGAAATGTATACTTAATTCATTAATTTTTTTTCTCAACTTCAATAATAAATTTACCTAACAAAGGAGTTTATTTTTGACTTGTAAATTTCTTAAAATCATAAAAAATTAAAATTAGCTTTTAAATACAGGTAGTCACCATAGCACTAAATGGGCAGTTTATAATACAGCAAAGTCAACAACAATTTCAAACTACTTACTAAGTTAGTTGCTCATTTCTTTGATTTCATTTAGCATTGATCTAACTCAGTGTGGAAGAAGGTTACATTCGTGCAAGTTAACACAGCTTAATGATTAACTATATTCACCTGCCAACATTATTTTTTCTGTGGCAAATATTGGTATATATAGAGTTAAGAAGTCGAGGTTGCTTCTAGAAGAAAACAGTTCCACATTGCTTGAAACGGAATAATCAGGATAAAAATGTTCACAATTAAGCTCCTTCTTTTTATTGTTCCTCTAGTTATTTCCTCCAGGATTGACCAAGACAATTCATCATTTGATTCTGTATCTCCAGAGCCAAATTCAAGATTTGCTATGTTAGATGATGTAAAAATTTTAGCCAATGGCCTCCTTCAGTTGGGACATGGTCTTAAAGACTTTGTCCATAAGACTAAGGGCCAAATTAATGACATATTTCAAAAACTCAACTTATTTGATCAGTCTTTTTATGATTTATCATTACAAACCCGTGAAATCAAAGAAGAAGAAAAGGAACTGAGAAGAACTACATATAAACTACAAGTGAAAAATGAAGAGGTAAAGAATATGTCACTTGAACTCAACTCAAAACTTGAAAGCCTCCTGGAAGAAAAAATTCTACTTCAACAAAAAGTAAAATATTTAGAAGAGCAACTAACTAACTTAATTCTAAATCAACCTGAAGCTCCAGAACACCCAGAAGTAACTTCACTTAAAGTAAGTAGAAAATAAAGAGGGTTCATGATTATGTTTTCAATGTGCATGTTTTAAAAAAATATTTCTAAGCCATGTTATTTGAAATACTTTGTTGCATTGTTGAAACACTTTAAGAAAAATTATCTCCAGGAAATAAAATTTCCCATTATAATTTCAAGTTGGTTTTTGTTTCCCTAATGTTATATATGAAAAAGAATGAAACTTTACATTTTATGTGAAAATTACAAATCAAGTAATACAATCTAGAACACTAAATCATTACAGTATTGCAAATTACTGAAGGTAAGTAAAAAGTTAAAAAAAAATTAAAACTATTCTCCCATGTTTAAAACAGATTAAGGTAATACAGTAAATGGAAAAGATTTATTCCTATTAAAATATGCTAGGCTTTTTCTCTTGACATTCAGAAAATCAAATTTTAGAGACAGTAAAACTCAAATAAAATATTAAGAACAGAAATATGTACTATTTGAAAGAAGCATACAACGGGAAGGAATTGCCAATATTCATTTTTCAAATCCATTATTAATTTAAAAATTTAGATTATGATAGTGTTACAGGAAATGAAAACTAATAGAAAAGAAAGAGGAAAGCAACTTTTAACCAGACTATCATCTATATCCAGACTTTTATAGAAAAACAAGATAACAGCATCAAAGACCTTCTCCAGACTGTGGAAGAACAATATAAACAATTAAACCAACAGCACAGTCAAATAAAAGAAATAGAAAATCAGGTAAGTCAATATTTTAATGGTATGTCCCATCCTTCACACAGGTTTGTAAAAACACTGAATCCAAAAATTATTTAAAAGCTTTAACTGGATCATAAGTAAAATTATCACATCAACATAACTGTTAAAATTGCAGGTGCTGAAGCTAATAAACTACCTACGTTTAAATCGTGGTTCTAAAATTTTGTGTGGTCTTGAGTAAATTACTTTACCCCTCTGTCTCAGTTTCCTCACATAGATAATAGAACTTACAGGATTACTGTAAGAAAAAAAGTCAATTCATAGCAGCCAATGTGATCCAATCAAAATTCAAATTAGATCATGTTTCTCTTTGCTCACAACCACACAACAGCTTTCCATCTCACTCATATTGGCTCTTTAGACCCAAGACAACCTAACCATTCATCATCTCACTGACTTCACCTCCTTTAATCATTCTGACTGGTTTACTGGTATTAAAATACATCAAACATGCTACCACCTCAAAGCCTTTGTCCTTGTTGTCTATCTGGAATGCTCTTTTGATCGGGTATCTACAAGGCCCACTCTTTAATTTACCTTAGAGTTGTTATCAAATATAAAATTCTCAATGAAGACTTCCAAGGTCACTTAACCAAAAATTACAACCCCCGGTCCCATCCATGAAAACTTCTACTTCTTCAACTACTTTTTCTCCTGCACACTTACCTTTATTTAACATAATGTAAATTTTAGTCATTTATCTCTTCTATTCCTGCACTAAAATGTAAACTCTGTGAATACAGAAATTTTTTCCGTTATTTGTATATACTCCAGAATATAGAATACTGTATGGCACACAGTAAGCATTCAACAAATTTCTGATGAATTAATAAATGTAATGTCATATTCACACAGAAGCATGTGCTATTATTACTTGCATTACTAGAAATAGCATGCCTGATAATTAAAGGTCAACAGTCAACAATGTAATTAATCTACAATGTAAACAACTGGTGAAGTGGGAGAAAGCAGCACTTGTTTAGAATAAAGTTTTGTCAGCATCTAGTATTCTAATATACAGTAGAATAGTTTAAAAATATTAGTAATACTCTTAGCCATTCAAGAGGGTTCAGAAGATAACATAAACTCAGAGAAACTGGTAAAAAAAAATCATTTTCAAGAGATATGAAACAAATTATTATCACCAATTTCCACTAAACATCATTTTGGTACGTTATGCTAAAAGGTTTTTTATCAACTACTTTTGGTTTCCATACTATCCTTACAATGTTATTTTTCTAAATTCTTTTTAACTCTATCTTTTACTATGATTAAGTAAACCTGCTCCCAAAAGCAAAATGTCACTATAGTAATATACATTAAGTCTAAAAATAAAAATGTGTAAAGAAACCAAAACAATGAGATTCTGAGTTGGAAGATGACTTAGATCATTTGATTCAACTTTCTCATATTTAAATTAAAAAAACAAAACTCTAAAAATTAAAGTAACTTTAAGATTACCTTGTTACTTAGTAGAAAAGAGTAATACCCAGCAAGTAAACTTTACAATAGATCCTTTTAAATAAGGTCCTAGGAAATATCATTTATGCCAGCACCAAAAAATTAACACTAATAATGCAAGATATTATATATTCTGCTTTTCCTACTGTCAATGAGAAAAACTATCATTCAGTAAATTGCAAACCCAAACACTTTAAATGAAAATGTTATTACTAAACTAACAATGAACTATATATGGAAGGTAAGCAAATAAACTTGCCAACCTGCCAACATCTACAGATACATTTACAGGCCAAAGATTATCAAATTATCAAGAAAGCCTGGTTCAAATTATATACTATGTCTTTACAGCAAGTCTGAAAATCAGTAAGATCTAAAACTGAGAATTATCAAACTTAAAATCGGAACAGAATATCAAATATATTCTATTCATATAAAGAAAATACAATATTCTAAGCAAAGTAGTCTCTACTTTCTGCCTTCCTGTTTTTTGACCAATGTCAGCTTTTTTGCCTTGCTTTATTTTTTTTAACTTATTAAATAATGTCCCTGATTAAATATTTTGAGAACAGGCAATCTGTATAACCTGAATAGCACTGTTTATCTAAACATCAAATGCCGTAACATTATGAACTGAAAGACAAATTATACTTTTGACATCCTTACTCAGATTTCCCCTAATTTTATATTCAGTATCATTTTTAAAACAGATTTATATTCTTTTAACAGCTCAGAAGGACTAGTATTCGAGAACCCACAGAAATTTATCTTTCTTCCAAGCCAAGAGCACCAAGAACTACTCCCTTTCTTCAGCTGAATGAAGTAAGAAATGTAAAACATGATGGTAAGACACTTTGGCGGGTTTCCTTCTTGAAGCTATTATCAAATTCCCTATACTTAGGGTCTGTTCTAGACTAAAACATATTTAAGAGATATCCATCAAATACAATGTGTCCATCTAAATTGGATCCTGGGGTTCTTTTTACAACCTATAAAAGACATACTTAAGACAATCAGAGAAATATAAATATGGACTTGAATATTAGATAATATAGAGGTTTTACTAAATTTTGTGTTTTTTTCTGAGATGGAGTCTTGCTCTGTCGCCTGGCTGGAGTGCAGTGGTGCAATCTCAGCTCACTGCAACCTCCACCTCCTAGGTTCAAGCAATTCTTTTGCCTCAGCCACCTCAGTAGCTAGGATTACAACAGGCGTGCACCACCATGCCTGGCTAATTTTTGTATTTTAAGTAGAGACAGGGTTTCACCATGATGGCCAGGACAGTCTTAATCTCTTGACCTTGTGATCTGCCCACCTTGGCCTCCCAAAGTGCTGGGATTACAGGTGTGAGCCACTGTGCCCAGCCTATTAATTTTCTTAGATGTGATCGTGGTATTGCAGTTTTAAAAGAGAACAACCTCCTGATTAAGAGATACATGCTGAAATATTTAAGGAGTTAAAGGTCACTGCACTCCAGACTGGGTGACAGAACAAGGCTCTATCTTTTAAAAATAATTAATTTTTTTAAAGAAATTAGTTTGGTAACAACAATTCTTACTTTCTTAAACAACATGCCATCTAAGAAAAATGCTTTAACATAAACATTACTGAAAAAAATGCTACATATGCCACAATTTCACAAAATGAAAAGTGAAATCTCAAGCTGGAAAGATATTATTACTCTTATTACTAAATCTGATGTAATAACACTTTATTGATTTTAGGCATTCCTGCTGATTGTACCAGCATTTATAATAGAGGTGAACGCACAAGTGGCATGTATGCCATTAGACCCAGCAACTCTCAAGTTTTTCATGTCTACTGTGATGTTATATCAGGTAAAACCTGTCTAAGGAGAAAACAGTAGTTAGTTCAAGTTACTCATTATGTATTTGCAAGATTAACCCGGTTATCATTGTTTTATACATGTATGTGTGTGTGTGTGTGTGTGTGTGTGTGTGTGTGTGTGTGTGTGTGTGTGTGTAATATATATGAGTATTGGTATAAATCTAACACTTTTCTCTACCTAGTTTATTTATGGATTTATTTAATATTCTCCTTTTCCTCTGTAAAATAATCTAAAGTGACTATTATCAATAAGTTTACTATGCTAAAATTCATTAATTGCCCTTCACTTAACTTTTTGGGACCATAATAAATAATAAAATGTATTGCTATGCCATTAGTAAACTACCTTACAAAGCCACCAATTAAAATCAAACAAACAAAAAAAAGTTTTATATCTGTCAACATCAATCTACTAACGAAACATGATTTCATTCACTATATTCAGGTATTCCATGGACATTAATTCAACATCGAACAGATGGGTCACAAAACTTCAATGAAACATGGGAGAACTACAAATATGGTTTTGGGAGGCTCGATGGTAAGGTGACTACATTCAATCATTCATTCACTTGTTAATCTACAAATATTTACTGAGAACCTATGATAGACTGGGCATTAGGAAAGTAGTAATAAAAAAGAAGCAGTCTCAGCCTTCCTATAATATCAAACAATTACACATTTGTTAGTAAATTACATTTATTACAACTGTTATTATTTGAATTGTATTTATCACAATTACATGTCTGTCCTTAAATACACTTATCACAATTTAATTAGATGACTTACAATTATAACTACAATTATTAAAAATGTTGATTAAATGTTACATGTTATAAGCACTGTTACATATAAGCTGTGAAAAGAACCACTCCTAGCATTAGTCACTCTGTTCTCTCATTAACATTTTACATATCAATTAATTGGAAGTTAAAAGCACCAGGAAACTCAGACATACAGTACAAATTTTAAAATTTCAATTATTTAAGTATAATATATGGAATGTGCGGCTTAAAATGAATTAGTTAACTCAATGCAAATTATTCTGATTACAATAATGTAAAATAAGCAAGATAACATGTTTACAATCCAAAAAGCATATATAAAAATCCATATGATGTCTAAGTACTCACTTATAAGGTAGAAGACATTCATTATTATATCAAAATTTTAAATGCTCAGTACTATCTGACCATTTAAAAACTTTGTATTCAATCTACCAGTTAAAGTCCTACTCAGAAGATACATTCAGTGATGTTTTATAGCTCCAAATCTTCTAATAGTGAGTGTAATCCCAAAATAAAAGGCTGACAGTTAAGTCGACAATACTCACTTAATTCTGGTTAAAAAAAAAAGTAACCCATTTGTACTGTATTTACCAGTGATCCTTAAAATGAAGCTTCCTACTTTCTCAATAGCAATAAGAAAATAGTGATTGTTTTCATTAAATACTTTAATAAAAAGGAGTAAGATAAAGAACAATCTATTTATATTTTTTAGGATTTTAATTCCAAATAAAAATAATTTTTACAACTATAGAGAAAAGTTATTAAGAACCGTGCTTTTTCACTTAAAATATTTTTAAAAATTTATTCCCGTCTTTTTCCACAAAGAAAACATATATAAAGCAAATACCAAAGGCCAGGTTTATATTTGAGGAAAGTGGCTATATTATTACCAGGTCTCTGGGAATACCTAACAAATCTCTTGACTATATAGATGTTAATAAATAGCTGATAGTAAAACTAATCATATAAAGACTTAGAAGCAAAATATACCTTGACCAATGACAAGACTTTAAAATATCTATAATAATGTAATACATTTCACTGGTGAAATACGTCTTATGATATGCATTTTAGAAAGGATAATCAGACTTTCAGTTCTATTAATATTTTTAACATTTTTGTGCATATAACTATCTTCAATAAAATTGTTTTAAAAGGTATTTTTTAAGATACTCTAAAATGATCAAGGGATTCAAGACTAAACAACTCAATTAGTTGCACCAATAAAAAAAAAACACTCAAAAAAGTATCCAACCTGTAGTTAATAATTCACAAATTTTTAAAACTTTTCTTTTCAGGAGAATTTTGGTTGGGCCTAGAGAAGATATACTCTATAGCGAAGCAATCTAATTATGTTTTACGAATTGAGCTGGAAGACTGGAAAGACAACAAACATTATATTGAATATTCTTTTTACTTGGGAAATCATGAAACCAACTATATGCTACATCTAGTTGAGATTACTGGCAATGTCCCCAGTGCAATCCCAGAAAACAAAGATTTGGTGTTTTCTACTTGGGATCACAAAGCAAAGGAACACTTCAACTGTCCAGAGAGTTATTCAGGTATACTTTTCTGATACCAATACTTTATTTTCATATCTTCAAAGTATTTTCCCACATTATTAGGTATTATCTACAATGACAATTTTTTAAAATCCTAATCCCAAATAAGTATTTTCTCTCTAGATGAAAACTTCTTAACTATAATTAACATATTCATTATAGTTCAACCAGATATTTTACCTCTAATCTTCCTCAGATTTTCTATTTTTGGTGGTATATGTGAGACTTATTTAGACTATTTAAAGCTGGGATGCATGCATCTAAAACACTGTAATATTTATAAGACAAGAAGATAACCTCATGGGGAAATACAGTAACAGTAACTACATACGAATCTGTACCCATTAAATTGTGTATCTATCTCCTTTAGGAGGCTGGTGGTGGCATGATGAGTGTGGAGAAAACCACCTAAATGGTAAATATAACAAACCAAGAACAAATTCTAAGCCAGAGAAGAGAAGAGGATTATCTTGGAAGTCTCAAAATGGAAGGTTATACTCTATAAAATCAACCAAAATGTTGATCCATCCAACAGATTCAGAAAGCTTTGAATGAACCGAGGCAAATTTAAAAGGCAATAAATTAAACATTAAACTCATCCCAAGTTAATGTGGTCTAATAATCTGGTATTAAATCTTTAAGAGAAGGCATGAGAAATAGATTTTTTTAAATCTTAAAGTCACTGTCAATTTAAGACTAAACATATAATCACACAATCTTAAAGAATATCATTTATATTTCTCCAAAATTCTTACAATATAATTTGTTCTATATTTTGTGATGTGGGAATCAATTTTAGATCGTCACAATCTAAATTATAATCAATAGGTGAACTTATTAAATAACCTTCATAAATAAAACATTTACAGAGACTTTTATTTTAAAAGTTATCATATGAGCTAATATCACAACTTTCCCAGTTCAAAAAACTAGTTTTCTCATTAAAATTCTAAACTTGACTAAACCGAGGACTGATAATTGTACAGTTCTTAAATGCTGTATTTCAAAACTAAAAATTGTCAGTCCAGGGTATGTGTAAAAATCTGTAACATAAATTTTAAAACTGATGCTTCATTTTGCTACAAAATAATTTGGAGTAAATGTTTGATATGATTTATTTATGAAACCTAATGAAGCAGGATTAAATACTGTATTAAAATAGGTTCGCTGTCTTTCAAACAAAAGTTGATGATGATTACTAATTCACATTGACTTTAATATGAGGTATCACTATTCCTTAACATATTTGTTAACATATATACTACACACATTTTATATATTTTAACACTTAATGCTATGAAAACAAATAATTGTAAAGGAATCTTGTCAGATTACATAAGAATGAACATATTTGTGGCATCAAGTTAAAGTTTTTATTTCCCCTAAACATGCTATGATTCTAATAATTTTGTGTAGGTTTTCAAGTATAAATGTCATAACAAGTTACTGAATGTCTAAACAGCCTGACAAGCATGCATATATGTTTGAAATTCAAAAAATACTCAGTTCCTAAATTATAGAAATTTAAATCATTCTTGTACTTTATTGACATCACAACAGATGGATGATTATGTTATTTTTAAGTAATTTAAACCCTAAATCCCTAAAGATTATTAGATTCAAATTTTTTTTACCACAGTATCAAATGTATTTATTTTTAAATATTTTTTTTAAAACTACCAGTAAGAAATTTTAAATTAAACCCATTTGTTAAAGGATATGGTGCCGGATTTATATAGTGACCTACCTTTGTCAATATTTAGCATCATGTATTTCAAATTATCCAGTATGCATGTCATATATATTTTACATGTTGCATACATAAAAGATGTGCATGATCTATGTGAATCCTATGTAAATATTTTGTTCCAGAAAAGTACAAAATAGCAAAGGTAAAAATAAGCTATAATTTTTAGGTCCACAGACTAAGCTGCAAAAATTCACGTTGATTTTGATTTTTTTTAGGACCAGAATGCCAAAATGGCTCCCCTCTCCCCACAAAATTGGACAATTTCAAATGCAAAATAATTCATTATTTAATATATGAGTTGCCTCCTCTATTTGGTTTCCTTTAAAAAAAAAAAAAAAAAAAAAAAAAAAAAAAAAAAACCTCTCATAGGACATGTTTCATTTTGTTCCTTTTAGGAATACTAAATTAGACTTTTTCCCCATATAAAACTTTCTTCTACCAGAAAGATACTGCTAGTAGAAGAAGAGAAAGGAGCTCTTTTCTTCATGATTCACACGACTGTCTCCTGTCCTAACTACTCTTTGCTTAAAATATTCAAATTCTGCCACTAACTCACAGTTGTCTAATCTAAGCAAAGTCTACTCCCCTTTGATCTCTTTACTACTCACCATACTAATATCTTTTTTTCAAACTTGATCTTCATTTTGCTTTCACAATACTACTATACCCTCCATGGATTACCCCTTACCTGAATCAACCTTTATAATCCTATTCCTTTCTCATATTTAGTAGTATGCTCCAATGAACAACCTTCAATCATCTTTTCTACACTCACCCTCAGACATTCTATCTGCTCTCACGGACTCATCTATTTACCATAAATAAGATTCCAAAATCTACATATTCATCCCAAGTTTCTTTCCAGTTCCCCTTCTTACATTGCCTATCTGCCATTTCACCCTTCAATACCCTATACTCCATTCAAATTCAACATATCAAAAATAACAGGCCGGGCATGGTGGCTCATGCCTGTAATCCCAGCACTTTGGGAGGCTGAGGTGGGTGGATCACCTGAGGTCAGAAGTTCGAGACCAGCCTGACCAATATGGTGAAACCCCATCTCTACTAAAAATACAAAAGATTAGCCAGGCGTGGTGGTATGTACCTGCAGTCTCAGCTACTCAGTAGGCTGAGACAAGACAATCACTTGAACCCAGGAGGCAGAGGTTGCAGAGAACTGAGATCACACCACCACACTCCAGCCTAGGCAACAGAATGAAACTCTGACTCAAAATAAATAAACAACAAATTCACCAGCCCCTTACTACTACAGCTACCCCTTTCTACCCACCTTTCCTTCCTTTCTACTCTTTCGTACCATCTTCCTCGCTTCTTTATATCCATTAATATGACCACCACGTTCCCAGTCACAGAAGCCTGGAACCTGAAAGACATCTCTAGCTTTTCACTTAACTTTGTAAACTACCTCTTCTGTATCATAAGCACCAAGTCCAATATAATCTTCTCTTGAAACATCTCTTAATCTTACAAGCTTTCTTCCCAAAAACTGTCTTTAACTTGACTGCTAGATTATGTAAGTAGCCTCCTCTTTCCTCCTAATTTTATGTCCCTCTCCCTGTCAGTCTTCTGAAAAGAAATTTGTAATGGATGCATACTGCTTGGATCTGTGTCTTTCAAGCTCATCTATTGAAGAATAACAGAAGATAATGAAGACAAATCCTTATAAGTTCTGGAGTTGCACGATAAAATAACTTACTATATGCACAAATTTCTTTCAGAATCGTATTGGGGTCTTAGCTTAAATCTTAGAATTTTACTTTAAAATTACATGTGAATTGTGTTTAATACTTTATAAATCTATCTTCACGCCTGCAGTGGCTCACGCCTGTAATCCTAATATTTTGGGAGGCCGGAGTGGGAGTATTGCTTGAACCCAGGAGTTCAAGATCAGCCTGTGCAACATGGCAAAACTCCACCTCTACAAAAAATACAAAACTTAGCTGGGTGTGGCGGTGGGCACCTGTAGTCCCAACTACTCGGGAGGCTGAGGCAGAAGAATCACTGGAGCTGGGAAGGTCGAGGCTGCAGTGAACCATGATTGTTAACACTGCACTCCAGCCTGGGCAACAGAGTGAGACTCTGTCAAAAAATATATATGTCCTCATATAAAAAGTGATGCTCCTAGAAGATGTGCTGTGTTTATCCTGTGGACTTGCACATCCCATATAGTTGTGCCCACACAAGAATGTATATTCTACTTAGAAGAGTATAGGCCTTCTGAACAAAATCCAAATCCCTTCCAGGTATTCAAGAGTCTCTAATACCTGGTCCCAAATTACCTCTTTAGTCATTTTTTTCCACAACACAAACCTGCTCTAATCAAAATGATCTACTTTTAAACATCTCCTCTATGCCTTCCTAATGTATTCCATTTGTTTAGAATGTCTCCCCACACAATTCTGATTGGCTAGATTGTGCCATATTTCAAAGTGCAGATATCTTACTTCTTCCATAAGTATCCTAGTAAATGGCAGCTCCTTCCTCTGAAGCCATACAGAATTACTGTCTATACCCCTCAAATGGCACTTAGCGAGAAAATACAGAGACGTAAATATGGCAAATCATAATAAAAATTCTGAAAATAGTACTAAAACCTCCAAAAGCATCAAAGATAGTCAACTTACTTGATTTTAGTGAATTGCTGAAAAATTTCTATATCAAGAGTTTATTTTGAACCAGTATGAATTTTACTGAAACCAAGTACACACAATCTCATTACGGGGTAACCAACTGCGGTATAATCTATTTACACACACTCTGTCATCCTAGAATCAGCATATTTTCATGCTTGTATCTTTCCTTCCTAATAGCATACCTCATGGAATTCAATTAACTCATTCATTAATTTTAAAAATAATATTCATTAACCAATATTTATTAAGTATCTACAACTTGTCTCCTTTAAAAAACTTATTCCAAATTTGTACTCATACATAGTCTACCTTCTATTGTAGGATAATCAAATTTCTTTGTGATTTATTTTTCCCATCACTAATAGCCATAAGCACTGCCTTTATGTATGTACTACTGAGTGAATTATTCAACACGGCAGTTTTAAAAATGAAAAGAAAATGACCAAACAACTGGCCCTTTTATCAAAGTCCAAAGTATTCTCATGGCAAATCAACTAGGGTTGAATTACTTAACTAGTGTGAAATGCACAGTTCAAGGTCATGAAAGTAGCTCTAACAATCCCCTATTATAAGGCTTAATAAAATGAGGTTTCCATGACATTTTAGGAGATATAAAATAAACTAAGGATTCTATCTAAAATATAAAAGCTGTTTTTCTAAATTCATGTTTAACCCTAAGAACAGTCATACACCTAATAAAATGGCTGGGTATATAATTTGAAAGAGCGGTAAATTGCAACCTTGAAGATGTAAGGTTGTAGCTATGTATCTTCAAATATGCAGCCAAACCTCAGTTTCCACACCCAACAGTCGAGAATGATAATCCTGTCAAATCTATTATGGGGTTGTAATTATCAAGCCAGATACTGCATTTAAATAGTTTTATGAACTCCAAAGTTCTAAACAAATGTATATACTTTTTAAAAACTGGATCTTCCATATTATTTTTCACATTCCTTTAAATAAATAATCCTACAAATACTTCCTAACTGAACATACTATAATTCTCAGGACAGAAGAACAAAATTGCTCTTCTCACAGTTTGCATTTGTTTCTGGAACTTTACTCCTTCCCTTCGCCATCTGAGATAACACTCCAACACCTTCAGATGCAAGCTCCCACCTAAAAACTTCTGGATGGCTATGTTAAAATGTTAGGAAATAGACCTCGTGACTCAAGAACTTTTATACATAAAATAAACTAGAACCAATTAGATGGAATAAACCCCAGAGTGGTATAAATAGGGCAAAACCAAAATAGCAGAGTATGTGGCAGAAGCTTGAGACATCTATGAACTCTAAAAATAAAACAAAAACCAATACTTTCTAAAGCAGAGGACCATACACATGAATAGGAAAAAAAAAAACAAGGTCCTGAATTTTCAGTAGCGTTGAGCTGAAATTTATACTTCCTTAAATTACGAATTTTTGTAGTAAACCAACCACAGCAGTATTAGCACTATATAAGAATTTGTCATTAATAGAAACATACTTTTTTATTATACTTTTAACACTTAATACATGTATCTGAAATACATGTGCAGAACGTGCAGGTTTATTACACAGGTATATACACGTGCCATGGTGGTTTGCTGCACCCATCAATCAGTCATCTACATTAGGTATTTCTCTTAATGCTATCCCTCCCCTAACTCCCCAACCCCCAACAGGCACCAGTGTGTGATGTTCCCTTCCCTGTGTCCATGTGTTCCCATTGTTCAACTCCCACTTATGAATGAGAACATGCAGTGCTTGGTTTTCTGTTTCTGCGTTAGTTTGCTGAAAATGATGGTTTCCAGCTTCATCCATGTCCCTGCAAAGGATATGAACTCATTCTTTTTTATGTCTGCATGATATTCCATGGTGTATATATGCCACATTTTCTTTATCCAGTCTATCACTGATGGTCATTTGGGTTGGTTCCAAGTCTTTGCTATTGTGAATAGCGCTGCAATAAACATACACATGCATGTGTCTTTATAGTAGAATGATTTATAATCCTTTGGGTATATACCCAGTAATGGGATTACTGGGTCAAATGGTATTTCTGGTTCTAGATCCTTGAGGAATCACCACACTCTCTTCCTCAATGGCTGAACTAATTTGAAACATAC